AACACTGCTCTAAACAACCGACAGCTGGAAGGCAAGGTCCAGGAGCTAACGCCCGACCTTATCAGGGCACACATGTGAGAATTATCAAGAAGGATTAAACCTAATATGACACAATGTTAACAGCAAATGGAATAAAAGGCAGACTTTTTAAGCGTCACTTCGCTTAATAACCGGCTTGTGAACGCTAGCTTCCGAGCACTCCAGGGCTCGGGAGCTAGCACTCAACCCATCTAAGCCTATTTATGTGATGACAGACACATAAACACGTCATCCAATTAACTAACTATCCCATTACTACTTACCTGAGATAATAACACATGACTGCTAATATTATATACTAATTTAGGCACTAATAAATTATTTAATTAATGTTTCCAGCACACAAACCATTTTTCAGCTGAATATTAGTCCAGTGATGGGAGGTTTACACCAGGGTATCGTAGCCAGAGAACACAGCCAGGTATCGTAGCCAGAGAACACAACCAGGTATCGTAGCAAGAGAACACAACCAGGTATCGTAGCAAGAGAACACAGCCAGGTATCGTAGCCAGAGAACACAACCAGGTATCGTGGCCAGAGAACACAGCCAGGTATCGTAGCCAGAGAACACAGCCAGGTATCGTAGCAAGAGAACACAGCCAGGTATCGTAGCAAGAGAACACAACCAGGTATCGTAGCAAGAGAACACAGCCAGGTATCGTAGCCAGAGAACACAACCAGGTATCGTAGCCAGAGAACACAACCAGGTATCGTAGCAAGAGAACACAACCAGGTATCGTAGCAAGAGAACACAGCCAGGTATCGTAGCCAGAGAACACAACCAGGTATCGTAGCCAGAGAACACAACCAGGTATCGTAGCCAGAAAACACAGCCAGGTATCGTAGCAAGAGAACACAACCAGGTATCGTAGCCAGAGAACACAGCCAGGTATCGTAGCCAGAGAACACAACCAGGCATCGTGACCAGAAAACACTACTAATGGCTGACAATACTAGTGGCTCAGAATACTTGTGATTTACACTAATGGTTGACAATATGCTCACAAGACTAGTGACTCATAACAGGTGCTCACACTCACCTTCATCATGCTAGTCACATCAAAGGGCAGCAGACTCAGGAGCTCTGCGCTGATCCCTCGAACACCCCCCCCCCCCACACCCCAGCCCCGCCCCCGTCTGCGTACCACACTGCTACTCTGGCTACCACACCACCACTCTCGCTACCACACCACCACTCTCGCTACCACACCACCACCACACAAGAGCGGGTGATTAATCACTCGGAACAAAAGTCGTGGACAGAATATTTACGGAACATTAGTTTGATTTACAACTATATTTGGTAAGATTATTAAATATAATTATTTATAACACAATTTCAATAAAATATATAAAAAATACATGTAACTTGACAAGCATTATAACTTTATTTTCTTATTATAAACAAGAAAATTGCTTTACAAGATTAACCGTGTGAGATTCACGAGTTTTGCGTCACGGGAACTATAGGAAAATTACTGGATCGTGGACTAGGCTATTCTTTCCGCGGGTTTGAGGTGATGGAACGATTAGTGCCTGCTTGTTCAACTCTTACATATATAAAATGACCGAAAATACCCGGTTCAGTGTACCATGGTGCAACTATGCTCTTTCGACTTTTAATTACTGTCAAATGAACAAATCCACAAGGGTCGTGACGAGGGTTCGAACCTACGTCCGAGAGGATCCCAGACGTTGCCTTAATTAACCGAGCTACGACATAGTTAAAAGAATTACTATCTTTTGTGTAGGAGCACAGCTGTCCCTTCAATAAGGTACTACTTGTACACAAACACTCACCGCGAGCTAGTAGGTCAATGTTTTCAAGGAAACCTCAGTTGGAGGTAGGGAGAGGATGTGATGGCCCGTTAACAGTCGACTGGTTAAAACAATTGTTTGGCCAGTGTGGGCAACTCGTTCTCAGGCTACGTTCATTCTCTCCAGCGAACCACCCTCTGGACGCTTTCGTCAGTTTTAATATGTTGTTTATTCAAAATAGGAATTACCTCAAATCTAATTTAATATTATAAATATTAGTAGATTGTGCATTTTTAGCCGTAGGTTATGTTAGGTGTTTAGGTTCTGTTGTCAGTTATTAAATTTTAGTACGTGGGTGAAGCAGTTACAGATTCGAATTCGTCAGCGAAGCACTGTTCGAGAAACATTTTATCTTCACTTGTGAGTCGTGTGCAAAATGTTTTTCATTTATAAACAGGGAGTTTGGAATGAACATTTAGTTTTCGTTGATGAGGATAGGCTCTGATGAGGACGGACTGTGATGAGGATGGACTGGTGTGCGACTACCTGTGCTGTTCATTTGGGTTCGAACCGTTGACTGCGTTTTTTGGATTACCAGACGTGAATCTTTCCAAAGGTTACGTCTGGCCGGGCGCGTCAACGGTGCGGAGAGAGCGCCCTTGGTGAAGCTTGAAGCAGGTTGTTTAGGCAACTTGGGAAACGACGCTCTCAGGTAGGTAAAGGGTTCTTGTTGTATTTCGTGTCGGCTACTGTCGGAGTGTGTATCCGTTTTCTACCATACCTCAAGACCTAGGACGAGACTCAATTTACGCCGGATAGGTAGTTGTGTCCAGTGGTGTAGTCACGTTGTATCCAGTGGTGTAGTCACGTTGTGTCCAGTGGTGTAGTCACGTTGTATCCAGTGGTGTAGATGTCACTGCCTAGCGTGGTAACCGACAGTTTGTGTGCTTTCCTGTTTGTGATGATTCTCACGATAACGAGAATGTTAACAGCTGAGGGTGCTAACAACAATAATGTGTATTTACGTTTTATAATAAAACTGTTAAAATCGGCTTTGTGTTCAAAATCTCCTCCGCCTGGTGTCTCGCCACGTAGGCTTAGACTCTAAGTCCAAGCTTAGAGGCTTGTGAGTGCTGTTTGAACTGGGAATTACGAATCGAAAAAACGCAAACATTGCCCATCAACGCAATGTCCCTTTACACACATACACACAGAAGCGTAGTGCCTGTGCTACAGGCATCCAGAATTTCAATCACGACTGTTTTCAGTGTGGACGCTCTGCCAGTCAAAACACCGCCCAAGAGCTATGAGAGGTCGCAACACTCTAAGATGAGAATTCAACACACTGTCAACACCTGTATTGACGATGATGTCGTGGCAACCACCCGAGGGCGACATGGCAACAGTAGAACACCGGGCGTCATGTTGGTGGACAACTGCCTCCAACAAATGCCAGCGGTGTCATTAGGCTTTCAGGTGACACGCTTGTTGGGTCAGCCTGTCCAGCCACGGCCACGATTCATCAAGCATTTACGCAACCACTTACGAAACCGGTACATCTTTCCTTAATCATGACGGTTTTGTTTATATTTAACAGCTTACGAGCTTGGAAACATCACAGCTGATGTTTATTTCAAAGGTTATTATTGATATATAAACGACCTCGTAGTGCTTCGAAGCTCATAAACTGTTTAATAAATAAATGTAAGCAAAGTCGCTATTGATTGTTCAAAGATACAAGAATCATAAATCCTCATCCTTGGCCTAAAAGAGACACGAGAACCGAGTAGTGGGCCAGCCATAGGCTTAGGTTCCGCGCAGGAATATCCTTAGACAAAAAAAAAAGATACAGGGGGTTTCTTAAAAGGATACGCAAGTGCACAATGGAATCCTTGTGTTGTTTACCAACACAAGGATTCGTTATGGCCGCCTCCGGCCGTTGTCAGGGGCTCTGGCAAGGGCTCTAGAGCCCCTGGGTGAGTGTCCATACGCGGCCACCTGGCCCGGCCCCCGAGTTCAAGTATGTTTATTGAGACAAGAAAAAATGCATCTCAAAGGGATAGAGTAGCTTAGGCTATTTCTACCCCCTTCCCGTCCCCCCCACCCAATACGTCGCATTTTTTAACCGCTTCCACCAATCCTATCAAAATAAGACTTATTAGTAAAAAATTAACCACCGAATAATTGACGCTTTCCATCAGCTTCGAAAGGTTAGGTGGGTTGCATGGGTTTGTACGTTTCTGGTTAGGCAAATTACGTTTTTTTTTCCGTACTTTTTTTACAGTGGTATATCGAGAGAACAGGTTACCGGGCCTCCATATATCGTTATCTTGCGCTCCATGTATCGTTATCTTATACTGCATATATCGTTATCTTATCTCCACATATATCATTATCCTGCCCTCCATATATGCCAAATAAAAATATATATTTTCAAACGACACTACTGCCTCACTAATCATCACGTGAAGCTCATCACCTCGCCAATCATCATGTAATGCTCATCACACATATTACGTGAAGCTCATCACATAAATCAGTAATCATGTGAAAATCATCACTTCTCCAATCATCACAAGGAGACTCGTGAGGTATTCACCTCACTCATCACGCCAGCACTCACCACGTCACTCATCACTCCAATACGATATGTATGTCGCAATTTAAAGTTAACATTTATATATCCTGTAGTTAAATGACCATAAATGTCTGGATCTCTGTATTTCCAGGCATTAATCACCGTACGTTTTTGACGAAAAATTATCGGTGTTCAGTTTGACGTTATTTCGACGATTTTGGAAGCTGTAAACATGGTAGTAATTTTGATGTATTGTAGATGTTAATATGTACTCCAGAAGGTGTTGAGAATGCGTCCAAAAAGAAGAAGAAACTAAATGGCCCCAAGAATCACACGTAGAAAAAATTCCTCCCCCCTACAACCAATACCAAGTAACCTACGCGACAAACTACGCCAAGAAATTCTCGAATACAAGAAAATTAATTATTCGCCGATTACACACTTGCGGGATAAACAAAATCGAGAGAGAGAAACGCACGCCATGAACGCATAGTGCACCAAAAAACGTCGATAATGTGCAACATTTTGGAGGGAGGCGCGGTGGCGAGCGCCGGCAACCCGGGCGGGCGAGTGGCTATCGGTGATGCCAGTTGCTGTAGATTTATCACTAGTGTTGTGTCGGTGGTGCTGGCGAGCGGACGTGCGCTCTCTCACTCCGTGTCGTACACTGTGTGCTTTACTCTTATACAACTACAGTGATTTGTGATCATCCAGACCTTGCCGGACACTGACCAAGGCTTATATTACCAGTGTGGGGTTTACTTTTAGCGTTCCTAAGATGTGGACCGCAGGAAATGTATGGTAGCTGCTTCGGTTGGATTTCAGAAAGCTAATTGGATTTGCGAAGCACAGGTCAAACGGAGCCTTTGTGGAGTTCTGCTGCCACTGCCCAGACTTTCCTCCGTGTTCAAGGTAAGATGACCGTGTGAACACGGTCACCTCTACCCAGATTATACAGTTGTGTGTGTGACAGTCGCCTGTTCTCGCCCGGACCTTTCCCCCCCAAAAAATATTTCCTTCTCATTCTTGTTGTTTAAGACTCGGCTACTCGGAACAGTCCAAGTAGCACGGGCTATGGCGAGCCCGTAGTGGATTTTTCCCTCTCGAAAATGTAAAAAATGGTCTTATTCACAGTTCAGGTCTTGGTGGGGGCCTCCAGGGATGTCATCTGGTGGGGGGTCGTATAGTGTGCTGGGTGACAGCAAGGTCCGGTGGACCTTACCATGTAATGTTTGGCACAATTTCACCTACTTCATTTAATGTTGCAACTCTCGATCACGGTGAGGTGACACTTGGTGATGGGTGGCGCCAGGAATGGAAGTTGCCGACAAGACGGTTCACAGTGGTGAAGCTTGAGTATAGGACGCAAGTCTTCTCTCAACACGCTGTTATTTGTTTCAATTGCGGACTTGAACCTCGGCAATTACAATAATACATTTCAGGCTTACAAATGGTGTTGGTAAACATCGATTTGGCAATAGGCTAGAGTTCTGACTCGCACAAACTTCCCAATTAACATCGTTGAAAGAAATATCATGAAAACTTGTTCAAAAAGTCACATGAGTGAAAACAATTTGGTGTCACTGGAATCTATCTCGCATGGGTTAGTAAGTCTACTTCGGTTTTCCATTATTATGCTTTAGGTCGAGGTGGACATATCCAGGGAAATACTCACAAGTGTGTTGTGGACGTGAGGCCTCAATGTGCTTGGTATCAACACATCCCGGACTATATTGTATGGGTCAAAGTGTTCTAGCGGCATTACTTTGGGTCTGATGTTACTGATCGTAATGCGAGTGATAGTTACAGGGACACGTAGCCTGTTCTGCAACTAGACCAAAGTGTTCTTGTTATATTTTGAAGTACATTAGGCATATGCATTACTCACTCATCCCATGGGCAGCGATGGAAGGGTGTTAGACGCACATATGGGCGCGAAAGTGCTAGATCTCAATGTTTGAACATTTTAAACTTCGTAATTGTTGACCACAATGCTAACGGAGATGATTTTTATTTTAATTATAGCGTATTCTTGTGATCAGTGTTTGTGGCGTGAAAGTACACAATCTAGGTACAGTACTCTAAACCCAGCCTGTTATAATCCTTGTTTTAGTAACGCCATCCAGATGTGTCCTGGAAAACGCAAGTTTGACATACACCGCCAATTGTAACTTTGCCTTAATGTATCTGATTTAATGTACTGTTCCTAAGCCAAATACAAAGTCTATATCTAAAACTTGTACGGCCTAGAATGATGTAAATGCTTAGTCAACGAAGAAACGAATAACGCTATAAATTTTAAATTTCGTGGAGTTTACTGGAGTCTGAAGATATCCAGCTCGATGTGAAATTGTGTATTGTGAACGTTGTATGATTTCAACCCCCTTAGACATTTGTACTTTTGAATGTTGTGGTAATGATGGTATTATCACTTGTGATAAGTTATATTAAAAACGCCTATGTCAATACGAAATTAACAAAATATTGTTTTCTTGTACACCTAAAATCTGTTGTGTTGGCGACAGTGCGAGTGTGTTGGGGGGGGGGGGGCGGGTATATGTACCTCCCATGTGTTTGTGTTGACAAGTGTTTGTGTAGTACTGTGGCTCACTCGCGTGAGACACAGTACTTGTGTTATTGGTAACACGGTGTTGTGTTGGCAATACTCGTGTTAGTGGTGACTGTGTTTGCGTAGTGTTGGCAGTGTTTGTATATCTGTTATGTTCTGATGTGTTTTGAACATAACATAAACACACGCGGGGCAGTGCGTGTGTGTATGTCGGCCGTCATAGTGGTGGCACTGCTTGCATACCTCACAGGTATTGGTGGGTAACTTGGGTGTTAATGGTGGCAGTGCTTGTGTGCGTGTGTGTGTTGGCTTACATGGTTAGTGGTGGCACTACGAGGGTGCCTCAGTTGTCACTGGGTGTCTCAGTTATTAGTGGTGGCAGTGCGTGTGTACTCACCAAGTTGTGCTTGCGGGGGATGAGCTTCGGCTATTTGGTCCCGCCTCTCAACTGGTGTACATATTCTTGAGTGTTAGGGTGTGTTTGTGAACCCCCGTTATGTTCGTGGTGGCAGTGCGTGTGCGTTTGGGTGTGTTTGCGAGCCACCGTTGCTGCCACCAATCATTGTTCACATCATCGACAAGTACGGATACAAAAATCGTTACGGTGAGTGACACGCATATATGCTTGCAGCCCCCGCACGGCATTCCCTCATTAATGCACCGATACATGTAAATATTGAACGAGGGAATCCGTTCACAGAATAATGCCTGTAAATTGTGGTATAAAATAGTAGTAATACGAGGAAATAGTAGAGAAGTTAGCATAGCTATGAAAAATTCCACACACTCACACACTCTCACACACAAGGGAGCCGGTGGCCGAGCGGACAGCCTGCTGTACACGTGATCCTGTGGTCCCGGGTGCCGGCGAGAAACGATGGGCAGAGTGTCTTTCACCCTATGCCCCTGTTACCTAACAGTAAATAGGTACCTGGGAGTTAGTCAGCTGTCACGGGCTGCTTCCTGGATGTGTGTGTGTGTGTTTGTGGTATGGAAAAAAATAGAAGTAGTAGAAACAGTTGATTGACAGTTGAGAGGCGGGCCGAAAGAGCAGAGCTCAACCCCCGCAAGCACAATTAGGTCACACACACACACACATCTACTGGTCTAATATCTACTGGTCCTCCTTCGAGGACAAGTAGACCAAGTACTACACAAGTCCACCTCGATATTAACTACGACTTTAGAATTCAAAGCTGAACCGTCTATCTTTTGTGGTATCGTGGCTGGTGTGTAATAGAGTACATGAGGAACGTCTCGAAGCCAATTCGATTCACAGTTTTAAACGGAAATATGAATATAGAAACACGGGAAATGAGTTACTGCACTGAACTAATGATAGTCGAAAGGCGGGACTTAATAGTAGATGCTCGACCCTGCAAGCACATCTAGGTGAGTACATCACACACACAGGCAGAAACAAATGTACAAAGTTTCCGTCACTTGATGACGCTGTTCACCTAGCAGTAAATAGGTACCTGGGAGTTAGCTCTTACAGACTGCATCTTCGGGAATGTGTGTGAGAGAGAGTGAGAGTTCGAATCCTTCGCAGGACTGATTTTCTCATTGATACGTCACGTTAATGGGATGTCATTGTGCATATAGAGGGAAATGTATGTAGTAGACATGATGTAGATAACAGTAGGTCAGGAATCGGTATATTAAACAACCGATACTTAGAAAGGCGGGGTCCAAGAGCTAATAGCTTGATCCTGCAGGGGCACATAGTAAATACAAATTGTAAAGACACACACACACACACATATATATATAAATATATTATATAATATACAGCACTATATAATATACACAAAACGAGAATAATGTACACTTAAAGAATAGGGGTGGTAGGAGAAGAAAATATCAAAGTGTTCAGCGAGGATCAACACGGTCTTCTGAGTACTCTTTATTTTCTTCTCCGAGGCTATGGGTCCCTACAACTGCACCAGAGGTGGTACTCATTTTAGCTAAAAAAAGATATACAGTATATAGGGGTACCACCTCTGGTGGAATTGTAGGGTATATATATATATATATATATATATATATATATATATATATATATATATATATATATATATATATATATATATAAAATATATATATTGGGGGGGTACCACCTCTGGTTGTTTGTAGGGACCCATAAGCCTCGAAGAAGAAGATATATATATATATATATATATATATATATATATATATATATATATATATATATATAATATCAGTATATAATTTATTTTGCTCTGGAGAATAAAGCCAAAATGGAATTACAAATTTGCATTTTTAGATTTTTATGCTTGTGGAGTTAAAATAAATCTTGTGTTGTCATAAAATAAATTAGATTTTTTTCAGCAGAACACCAAAAGCGAATGTTTTTTTTTTTATTTTAAGCAATTTAGCGGAGATAACATTTTTTAGTCGAAGTTTAAATTGCATTTATTCCCACCTTCTATCTTTGTTGCTCACTATATTATGTCTTTTTGTTGCTGTTTATGTCTGAAGTTATGTTTGTTTATTGTGTCATGCCTATATATACAGAACAGTATTTGTGCACGAATTCTCCATGGCACAAATATATGTCGGTATAAATGTGGATATAAGTACAGATTCTTACTATATATCGAGAGGTGGATAAATTATACTACATTACTCCCAATTATTGATAAAGTGAATGATAAGTATGACTGCTATCACGATACAAGTTGCGTCTAGGCACTCTGTATAGGAAAGCAAATCAGGAATATACAGTTTGTAGAAATATAACCTAGGCTGTACCAGGATTTGTAATGTATGAGGAACTAGAACGAAACGGATTTCAAAACACAGGATTACAATACACAGAGAAACCACATTAACGTAATACATCAATGAACAAAGTCCACAAGGTTTTAGAGGAAGCCTCGGGACACTTGTGAGTGCAGTAGTACTCCAGGTTGCAATTCTTTTTACCATGTCGTGGCGCAGTTGACTAGAGCTTGCCTGGGAACAATCAGCGCATAGGTTCAATCCCTCATCACGGCTCCTGTGGATCTGTTTACAGTGTTACAAAATAATTCAAATGGGAACAGACCTTCAGATCCGAATTATGCTGCTGTATTTGAGAAATCTTAGGCCAGTAGTGGAACAAGCAATGGTGACTGGAATAGAAGCAGGTCACTTTTTCCAATTTAATTTTTATTTTATACTCTTCAAGGTATGACCTATGAATTATATCTCTTAATAAGTTGTTACAAATATTTTCCACTCGATTATAAAAAAAAAGATTTTGCATCGTTGGAGTGAATTGGTTCTCTTATTTTAACGTGATAGGTGCGTTATTTTTACTGCAGTTTTATAGTATTTT